GTATGACTTCTTTTTATTTGTTTAACATCTCATATTTTCTGCAGAGCTTTCATGAATTTCACATAGTACCACTTCTGTATAGATGTTTACTATAGTCATATGAAAATCCAAAAATGTTTACATATTAAATGTTCATGAACCAGAATACTATGATTATGTATGGACCTGTGCTGTCTCTTTTAAGCTTATGTAGGTAGAAAATTATGACAAAATTTTAGGGACATGCTTTCAGCTTGCAAAAAATTCTCAAAATAGATAAAAATTTGTCCAAATTAACTGAATCTAATCTTACAATATTTAGTATTCAGATAAGTGTATAACTGACATAAACATTTGTCAAAAATATATATCACTAAATATATAACACTAAATATGTATATCGAGGAGAATAGCTGAGCCTTATACAAGCAAATAACTTACATGCACTTATTCATAATATTAGTACTCATATAAATTATGATTAGAAAAGGCACACTCACTGTGATAGAATATATTAAGATAATTTTTCTTGGATTAAAGTAAATATTGTCATGATTCTTTTTTATTCAAGATGTTATTTCATTCATAACCCTGACTTTTTTATTGTTCACATCTTTCCTTTGTTAATAAAAAGTGATAAAACACATGTAAAAGAGGAAATAAAAACATGATTAATTTGTTTGGCTTTGCCCATGAGATACTCATCACCTTTATCTGAATGTATTTTTAGACTACCTCCTTCTTTACTTTCACCATTTTCATTTGTATAATGTCATAAATTTGAAAGATTTCAAAAGACTAAGCCACTTTTTCCATGAACTCCCAGTTCCTTTGGACAGATTTGAGCCCTTGTTCTATGATTATCTTCTCGAATGAGGCCTTAATCCAGTTACACAGCTGACCTCATAGGCCTGATTCTGCAGCTTTGTTTGAGACTCTACTGAACTCTGTAATTGCATGTGAGTGCTTGAATGATGACTACTTCAAAAAAATGAACACTAGAATTGAACACTAGAATGAACACCAGAATTGAAAGTAAAGACTTTGAAACCAAATTTTATAAATTTTGGATTTTTTTCTTAGACATATTATCAAATGGGAAAAATAGGTCTTTTTGAGACAGGGTCTCACTATGCAGTTCAGACTGGCCTTGAGCTCACTTTGTAACCCAGGCTGGTCTCGAATTCACAGCAATCCTCCTGCCTCAACCTACTGAGGTCTGGGATTATAAGCATGCATCACCATGCTTGACTAGAAGGCTATATTTTTTGATTCTTTCTAAAGTAATTGAATAGTTCAAGGCTAGGAGTTTTTATAACAAGATGTAAGTTATATTCTGTATCTGCCTAGTAATTTTTATGTGATCTTTCAGAAAAACTTATATATGATTTACCAGAAATTGGCTACTAGCAAAGCAAGTTTTCTACTTCAGATGTATCTACTATTTCAAGCAGCTATTCACTCTCTGTCCTGGTTTGTAGGATTTTAGATTATGAGTCAAAAGCCAGAAAATCATTTGAGCTGTGTGATAAGAAATGACCAAAGTTGTAAAAAGGGAAGAAAATAGAAACATAAAATCCTATAGTAATTTTAATGAAATAAAATGGAAAACTAGGAAGTCATTTCATTCTTCTGCTTTTGAGTCACAGTGTTTAGATGAATTCTAAAATGTATTTTTGGATCATATCTTTTTAAAAATCGATGTATTCTGTGTTTTTCAAAGAATGTATTCTGAAAGACCTCTTTTGAATTGAAGCTTTAAAAATAAAATTAGTAAAAACTATAATCCCCAACTAAGAAAGAAATTATTAAAACATAAGTAAATTTTATAAGTTTAAGAGAAATAGAAAAGTCAAGACAGGGTGTGGTGTGCCCTGAAGTGAACAAGGTGGTTTTGGGGACGCAGAATACTTATTCAGTGAGGTAAGTGCCGACCCATTGCTAAAAGATTAACAATACTTTGAATTTGATAGTGAAGAAGCAAAAGCTTATAATATAAATGGCTGTAATATTGGGAGTGAGATGTGAAACTGAAAAAAAGCATATAAAATTTTTAGTCACCATTGCATTAGAGGTGACATTGTTAGTCATAGAGGAGAAATATTAATTTTACACAATATTTTACAGAATAGACACTCTAATATACCGACCGCTTTCACAGGCTTCATTTTCCCACTTGAGATGACACTTAGATTTATATCTGCAACTCTGGTTCCTCAGGTGGCTACTCACGCGATAGTATCAATAGTGCACTGGATATTTAAGTGCCCTTCAGCTTCAAAATGTAAAATTTTACAATCTTTTTCTCTGCACACTATCTCATTTTACTTTTCCTCATTCTTGTAGTAAAATCCATGTCATCTTTACCACAGTCCCAACCTTTTGGAATATGGTTATCAAGTTTGGCCAATATTCTAGCCTTGTAAAGTTCCTCAAACTCCTTGCTTACTTTGCGTTTTTAATGTCATCGCTGAGCATCCCATCACCCCAGTCCTATGGATTACAATAGTGCCTGTCCTCACTCGTCTTCTCTTTCCATTTTCTCCTTTCTTTTGAATGTGATTGTGCACAGGTAGGCAGGTTCATCTCCTATGCAATGCAAGCCCGCATGGTTGTCATCACAGGATGAAGAGCAGACTCCTCACTAGGTCTGAAAGCTTTGTTTGCATCATCTGGATCCCTCTGCCTCAGTTTCTCCCCACAATGGAGCTGTCCTCCATCATCCTTGTGTTTCTTCACTCATGTGTGTAACAAATACTATCTATGATTTTAGGCCACATCATGTGTTCTCAACCTTAAACAAGAAACAGACCACAACATGCGCGTGGCTAGATGTGAAAAGCTGAAACACACAATTTTTAAAAATTCTAAGTGTAGAGTCATAATGGAGTTGGCTAAAAGGATATCAGTGAACAGGAGATGACAAAGTAAAGTGGCAGTTTTGGCTGGAAACTCAGTGGGCAGACTTCAGGTGTGCATGTCAGACACAAGGAACAGGGCACGCACAGATATGGAGGTGTGAAGGAGTCTGGTGGGTTCATGGAACCCTGATTAATTTGAGATGATTAGAACACAAACTGTTCAAGAATGAGGTAGGAGAGGGATGGGGATGGCATAAAGCAGAGGCACCAGCATAAACATGAGGGAAAGATAGATAGTGGAGGTACTCATGACGAGTTCCCCCGCGGAATGAGCATTCTTTCTAATGTAGTCTATTTTCTTAGTGAAAAAAATGGTGTCAGATAAGAGGGAAGATAGGCAGATGGTGTTTAAGGTTTGAGAAAAATGTAATAAATTATTTTTCTAGAAGAACTATAAAACATCAATAGAGGTAGTTTTTTTTTTCAATCTTGTTCTTCTGAAAGCATCAACCCAATTTATGTTTACCTTCAATCCAATATATTATGCACAGTGCCCCCAGTTACTACTTTTAATTTGGAAAATCTGATAATAATCTTTGAGAGTTAAAGTGCAAATTTTTAAGCTCTTCTAAGAATTCAAATTCAGTAGATCTGCAGTAATATCTCACTCTGTATATTTAATAAGCCCTCTGAGACAATTTTGATTCAGGTCACTCTCCAATCGCACTTGAAGGATTCCAAATATAGCAGTGAAAATCCTAACGTCTTTGTGTGGAATCAAAGGTCATTCTTATTTTGGATTCTCTTTATCACTCAGCCAGGGATCCCCAGAGAAACAAAGTCACTAGGATACAGAGACAGAGAATGAGGCAGATAGAGAGATATAAACCTATACTTAAATTTACCTATAAACCTGTGTATACATGTGTATACACACACACACACACACACACACACACACACACACACACACCACACACACAGCTGGTAGCTGGAACTCAGGCACAATTTAAATGTGATGATCTCAAGGCAGAATTTCTCCTTCCCAAACACCAATGTCTGCTGGCAAAGCCTTCCGCTGACTGGATAGAGCTCAGCCATACATGCTTTCAGAGATGATGTCCTCCAGTCAACTGATTGCAGTCTAATCACAGCCATGGAAACTGATCTCAACATCTAGATTGATGTTTGACCAAAGAGCTGGACACCAGAGTCCAGCCAAAGCTGATACATAACATAAACCATCAAGTTGTCCAGTGTCATCTTTGGCTGATTTATGACCCATAGTGTGCTATAGAAAACAAACGAATCACTGATCATGCTTACCACACTACACATGGTTCCTTATTTCCAGACTATGTTCCTTTGCTCTTTAGTTTATTCTTTTATTTCTTGGTCCTGGGAACTGCACTCAGGACCTTGAGCTTGCCTGGCAGGTGCTGTGCTGCTGAGCTATATATCCAGCCTTCCATTCCTCTTTGACTGAGACATCTTTACAGATTCTTACAGCAACTAGAGCCGTGGCTCCAAACAACTCGTATATATGTAAAACAGTGAAAAGACGCAGCTTACTATAGATGCATCAGGACTCACTTCTCTATAAAAATGCCTCGGGTCCAGAGCAATAGGCTAGTAAAATGCACAAACACTACCCTGATCTTCGCAGCACTCTGTATCTGCGTGTTTTCTTTGTGCATAAGAACATAGTAAGTAATATAGGCTCATGCTTATACTTAAAAAGATGATGGTGTTAGGTTCACAGGTATTCTAAGGCGTTTCTCCCTCGCTCGCTGGAGGTGCTGAGCTCTTCACTTACTGATACTAACTCTGTTGCCATCCATTGACCTTGGGAGGAACTGCTCTAAGTATAGATAATTGGGCCCAAAACTGCATGCTCTGGAAAAAATGATCCTATGGCCCAGAAACATGGCCTTAATTCAAAACATGGTAGTCATGAGCTCTTAGGGCAGCACTCTTTTCCCTGTCCTCTCTTTTTTCTGTTTCCCTTTTTCTTTCTTCCTCCCTTCCTTCCTACAGCTTTTGCTATTACTGTGTCTACTTGCGGAGCCTTTTGGGGATGAGAAAAAAGGAAAGAAATGCAGATTTGAAAAGACTGTGATTTTTCTGACATATTTTCATATCCATCTTTTTTACCGGCAGACCGGTCACAGCTTCCCGCATGTCTCTGCCGCTGTGGATAATCGCCCTCATTGCGTTTGGAGTGTTGGCAATTCTTGGAATTACTATTGGGCTCCTGGTTCATTTTCTGGCAGGAGGTTGGTATATTGTACATACATATATATGTATTTATTTCATTTTGTTGTAATCTTTATTTCCATTTCCGCGAATGATGAAGTAATTGCAAACAATGAATCATCTCCCTTTACAATGACATCAGTAATCCTGGGTCCTAGAAATAAACATTATTTTTAGTTTTAGTTTTTTGCTACCAAGGATTGAAGTTATGACCTTGCACTTGCCAGGCAGGCACTTGTGCTGCTGACCTAAATCCCTGAAATAAGCATTTTAACATTTGTGTAACATTCAATTTCAGATCTCTTTTGAATACATACAGGTTAAAGTGGGCATCCATTCAAATACATGAATGAATACATATATAGCTAACTGGCAGAAAAGATACCTTTACAAAGATGATCCTACTAGTATTATTTTATAATTAAGATACCACACTCTGTTTGAAGAAGACAAATCAAGAAATATTAAAATATAATTATTTCTTCATAACAAAGACATATAAAATTTTTTCGTATATACGTTTTTTAAAATTTTGAAAAATGTGAAGAAACTTGGAATTGTTTTTAAAACAGTTTGTTTTTACTTTGGAAATTATATCACTTGCATGCCACTATAAAATTTAAAAATCAGCATAATTATATTTCTCACATTTTCCACTAATTTGTTAACACTATATTTTATATAGTCAATTTCTTTTTTTTTTTTTGTCTTTTTCCTTTTCATTGGTACCAGGGATCGAACTCACGACTACCTGCTTCCAAGGCAGGTGCTGATGCCGCTGAGCTAAATCCCCAGCCCCTATAGTCAACTTCTTAACACTTCATTTTGGTTTACAATAAAAATTACTACAGTTCTTTGAATTTTAATATATATCTAGATGATATGTGCTCACCATCGATATTTTTTCCAGTTGTCCATCTTTGCTATATTTGAATATTGTTTTTTTTCCTCTAGAGCTTACGCTAATAGTTTAAAGAGTCAGTCAATTTTTAATGAGTAATTCAGTCCCTCCTCCATAATCTCTATCTTTTATCTGAGAGAAACACTTTCAACTCTTTCAGATCATTCTAATGTTGCTATGTCGCTATTTATTTTTGCTTATTTGCATGATCTATTCACTTTCCACTGTGGAAATGGAAATTCCATGTTCATTCATACCCTGGCCACAGAGCGGCCATTTTAGGTTCTCTCTTCAGCAGCATCATGGTGACCACCTTCCGTTGTTGAATTTAATCTCCTAATGGTTGGTTTTCCTACTTCCTTTTTATTATTTAATCATTCAGTTTCAGTGTGTGTGTGTGTGTGTGTGTGTGTGTGTGTGTGTATTCCAGGATTTGAAAAAGGGTTATGTTGGAAAGTATACACTTTTGACACTCAACTGTCTGAAATTATTTCAGTATTACTTTTAACATTAATTACTTAATTAATAATATTGTATCTAGTTGGGAAAAATTCCCTCTGAATTTTGACACTGATGTCCTATTGTCTTTGTTTTTAAACTTTCTATTGTGAAGGCTAATGGCATTATAATTTGGGAATTTTTTGGATGCTTTTCCCCATCCTTCATCTTTGGAAATTGTATTGTGTGTGCTCATTTTGCACGTTATTTTGAAGTTTCTTGATAATGTAGCATAGTCTAGAGAACTTTTCTTTCAATTTGATGGCATTTGATCAGTTATTTCAATTTGAAAATTCATATGATACTTCAGTTCCTGGAGATTTTCTTACATTATTCCTTTGATTTTTTTGTCTTTGCCTTCTTTCTAAACTTCCTATAATGCAGATATGAGCCCTTTTACATAGGCCTCTGATTATTTTTTTCTCTTTTTATTTTCCATCCTTTCATCAATTTTTTGAAAATAAAATCATTCTTAAACTTATTTTTGAAATATTTTATTAAATTTCCTATTTCTACTATTCATCTTTAATTCCAAAATTTCTTTTTAAAAATATTCTTTATATAGCATCTTGATATTATTTCTTACAAAAATTTTCTCTGAGTACAATAATGGCTGAAAATGGCTACTTGAGTAGTCCCTCCCCTCCAGACTTTCTTTGCCTATATTGCATAATTTCATAATAGATGCTTAAATATTTTTTTCTTTTGGTATTTTCGGACATTTAATATTTGGTATTACAGAGAGGCTGGAAGGGGTGTGTGTGTGTGTGTGTGTGTGTGTGGTCTTTTGACAATGACTTTTATCATAGCTGCCCAATCTAGGTTATTGCATTGAAAGAATCTAAATTATGAGCCTGTTTAGCTTTGCCTTGAATTGGTCAGGATTCCCAGACCAAGAAGAAACCTTCACATCTTTTGTCTGTGTAAATTAGTCACTTTTAGCTTTTTGTAGACAACTTGGGATGTAGAATGTAGAAATCTTTTATACGATATACTTTAGCTGGGTCTCAGTCTCCTTGGACAAAATACCTTAAAATTTGAGAAGATACTGGATCTAGCTGCTGTAACTTATTTTCCTTCATGTCTGCTCCCTACTTGTGAAATTTCCTGTTGCCAGTTAGAATTCTTTTGTATGAAACAGCACCTGCATTTCCCATGCTATCTTCGGGTTCACGGTGTCGCCTGCCTCCAGCTTCCATACAAGTGTTGGTGCCTCTTCTTCCCATGTTACTGCCTTTGTGGGCTACTTTGAAGCTAACACCCAACTCCCTTTCTTGTCATTTTCAAGGGGATTTTGGAAAAATTGCCTTAAATATAGTATTGGTTAAATCTATCATCTTCAACTGAATATCCTTGATTGCTAAGTTTTATGATTGATCTCCAGTGTAGCACTGTATCTTCTTGAAGTCGTTCTTTTAAGGTTTTAAACTGTTGGAAGTCCTCAGAATTTACATATATTAATAAAAGCTAATCAAAAGGTTGCTTACATTACCTTTTCTTAGAATTCACTCCCTTCTCTTTTGCCCATTTAGTGTTAGAATGAAGGTCTTGAACATGTCCTTTTGTAAATGTAAATTATTTTGTCCTTATTTTTTTCTGCCTGAATAATCATAGGCTTTTTTGTACTTTAGAGTCACCAAGCCAAGTTTATCCTAGTGTGTTTATCCTTAAATGTTTCTCAGAATACAATGAGGAATTTCAAGTTGCACGTTCAAATCTGTTTGTTCTGCTGATTTTTTTCAGGAGCATCAATTATGTATTTGCTAAATCTTCCTTGCTTTTGTATCATTCATTTCTCAATAACAATTTATAACTGTAAAGTTTGATCTCTATAGTGAAAAGTAAATGGCCCATGGGTTGGCTAACTGCAATCAACAATGTTTATCATGTATAAGCAATCCATTTTCAGCACTCCCTAACTTCTTTTTCTATCACTTTAGCACTATAAAATCTTTAATATTTGTGTAACAACACTAGCAATACCACAAACACATATGTAGATTCTCATCTCCACACTTCAGCTCACACCTGGCAAACACCCACCCATTTCTCATAGGTTCCTCCCCAGGAAGACCCTTCCACTTCTGCCCTCCAGGCTACCTCTGCACCTCATAAATGTTTCTCTCTTGGGCAATTATTACACCATATTTTACTTGTTTACATGTTTAGTTTTTACTGTGGTGTTCCCCTTCTCTTAGTCCATATAGAAATTGCAGGTGAAAACTTAAGTTCATCACTGAATTGTATCCTTATTAGCCCTCATGTGTTGATTTCGTCTGTAATGACCCTGCCTCTTCCACATGATGATATGCAAGAGCAGCTGTCTTGTAAAGGAACATTTACTTAGTTCTTGTTATACTTGCACACAGTACATAGCAGATTCCTAATTGCTATATATGAAATATATCACATATCAGATATGTGACATATATCAAGTAGCTTAGTATCTCTGAATTTTAGGAAAGAAATTTAATGACTTAGCCGTGGGCTTTGGTGTCAAGACATAGGTTGAGTTTTAAGTCTTGGCTGTTATTAACAACCATCCCATATTGGGCAAATTACTTTATATTTCTTCTGAAAATGCACACTTCTTATAAGATCTTTCTAAAATATCTTCATGTGGACACACTAGTATAGTAGATGATGGTAACCATTTTAATTCATAATCAGGTAATTGACTAGGGCAAACCAAAATCTCATTACAATTTATATTCTTTTCTGTCTTACTCGTGATGTTCCTCTTTTCATGAGCTTTGCTTGATGTGTGTATGTATGTGAATGTGTGTAGATGTGTCTATTCCAGTATCAGTGCTACAACCACTTTCCCCAGGGGTTATGTTATATAATCAACTGTACCAGAAAGATTCACATGAGTTTATGAATGTCTACTGAACATAATGCATGTCAGTTGGTATTATTATGCAATCTATATTTAGATTTGAAGTCCATGTAATTTAATTCTTGGGTCATTTCTTTATCTCACAGAAAATAGAACTAACTATTATCGAGGAAGCTTTGAAGTGCTAGATATCTCATATAATAAAAATTATGGAAGGGAGACATCCCAAGAAAATAACTACCTTAGTGAAATCCTTGAAACTAAGGTAAGTTTGTATCTTCCTAATTATTTGAACTATAAATATAAATATAGTAAAATATAAGTGTAATAGAATTTGATATTTGATTTTTTTCTTTAACAGATGGTCGATGCATTTCAAAATTCTGACATTTACAGACAATATATCAATTCCCAAGTCATCACACTGGTGTAAGTAACTTACACTCAGCTCCTGAAGACGAGGCCAAACCATCAAAGATTTCATTAGCCTTCCAGCTTCAAAATGTCTATTGAGAGTTTATAGTCACTAGACAATGATTACTAATGTCCAACACTATCATACATGTCAAACCTATTTTTCAGTAAAGCGAAAGCAGAAATTAGGCACAGAATACTGAGTTTATTACATCTTTTGGGAATGTATTGATCTTCAAATTATAGGTAACTTATCCTTCTAATTTCCTAAGTATTTATATTCAGAAAAATCTCAATCTCTTAGACAAATATCTGACACTCTAATATTTTGGTTTCTCCCTGGCATAAATATAGGCCAACTTTTCTTCCATCTTTCTATTTGCCAGTCGATTAAACCCTGGATCTGTCCCTAAGGTGCTTCTTAGATATAGTATTGATGAAAACGTATCTTTAGCCAAGCTTGATACCAAGGAGAGCTGTCCAGGCATCAGGAAAACATCTCATCTCCAACTGTGGAGAAAAGTTTCTGAGAAGTAAAAGAACTGTACTGCATTCCCTTCACGTGCATTTCGAATAGTAAAGAATAGCAGCAAGTAGATAGTCTAAATCCAGCTTTGGTCATTTAGTAGCCCTAGAGTCTTGGATGAGTGGCAGCATCACTTTGAATCTGGTCTTCTATCCTATGAGATGCAATGATGACACTTGTCATTTCTTACTGATGTAAGCATGCTCAGAATAAAAAAGCAAGTGTGTGTGAAAATATTCCCAAATGAACACATTTTCATCAAGATGTTTATTGGTTATACCCTCTGCCACTAATGCCTGTCCATCTTCCCATTCTTGACTCATATAACCTGAGATTTCACAACGGATTACGGTTTCAACCATAATAAATCTTAGGGGTCAATTTAGTGTTGTGCAGAAATGGAAAACTAAAGTTGAAGGTTCCAAGGACTTCTCAGAGGTGACTGTAATCACTCTGCTTCATTTTCCAGTGCATGCAATTTCAGAACTCCTTAAGTGGGGCAGGTCAGGTAGAGAATGGAGAGGCCACAGGATAAAGTTTTTCACACTGGCATGCACTGCTACAAAAATCAAATTTATATGAACTGAGTGTTTCCTAGAAACTATTATTGATTCATATGCCAAAGTGAGTGTCCCTTTGGGGACCCAAAGCACAATTGTGACATGTCAGCTGCTAACCTCAAGGCTTCTCGACATTGGATTGTCCATTCTTTTCTCAGCCCCAAATAAATCTTCCCTGATATCACAGTGAGAGCAGTCTTCTCATCAGGCTATCCCTGCTGATATCACAGTGAGAGCAGTCTTCTCATCAGGCTATCCGTGCTGATATCACAGTGAGAGCAGTCTTCTCATCAGGCTATCCGTGCTGATATCACAGTGAGAGCAGTCTTCTCATCAGGCTGTCCCTGCTGATATCACAGTGAGAGCAGTCTTCTCATCAGGCTATCCCTGCTGATATCACAGTGAGAGCAGTCTTCTCATCAGGCTATCCCTGCTGATATCACAGTGAGAGCAGTCTTCTCATCAGGCTGTCCCTGCACCCTCCTCCATCTGAGCCAGTCTCAGACACCACAGATGCAGGGTGAGCAGGCACAGGTGGTGGGTACACAGAGTAAAGCGTACAGGTTATGAAATCAACTGCACCGAATCTAAGTCTTATATAGTAGACACGTATTCCTGTGCATTTTGCACAAGGTCTCTTATGAGAGAGCTTATGAAAGAGCTTATGCAAAGATAATGACAATGCTACAGGGCATTGCGGAGACAACAAAATGTATGTGATAACTGTGGTGACAAAGCAGATGCCCAATCAATGCTAATTAAGGTCTAATTATTCTCTGGTAAAATCTGTCCTCTACTCTGATTAAATTTTCTTCTTGATAATGAAGCTGCAATAAAAATAAATTCTAGTGTGCACATCAGCTCATCCATGAAAATTTCTCTGATCATTTTAGGTTGAAAAAAGACTTATCTTTCCTCCTAATATCTCAAAATAAATGTCTTGTTCCTGCCTCAGTTTTTATAGTTATTTGTAAAAGTCTGGAAGTTCTGAGATGGTAGGAACCATATCTTAGTTACCCTTGCATTGCCCGATGGCTCCTAATCCAGCTGTCTATCAATAGGTCAGGAAATGATTGATAATTGCATGACTAAATGATCCCAGTTCTTAGATGGTATCTTTACTCTGTGCTTCAGCCTTTTCCTGTTTTTTTCAGATTTGTAAAGTTAGTTGTCTTCCAAATTGAATATTACAACCTCACTTCATACCACTGCCACATGCATGTGGTGAGCCAGAACTTTACCTGGGCCCAGCACCAAACAGAGCAAAAGATATCACATATGAAAGATCTGGAAAGAAAGAAGTGAACACTGGTTTTAGCAGTACTTAGAATCTTTGTGTCATTTCCAGTCCTGATGGCAACAGGGTGACAGCACACATATGGCTGGTGTTCAAGGATTCCAGTTCAAGGACAGAAAACACAAAGAGAAGAATCGAGAGCATCTTACACCAGATGTTGAGGAGCCAGTTGGGATCCTTCACTGCAGACCCCGCATCCCTTAGGCTCACAGGTAAGCGTCTGCACCAGGCGTGGGCAGCGCTGCATTGAGTACAGCATATACACCAGGCACAGTGCTGAACCTCACGTATTTTAAAATGAATGTCATTCACTGCAGAGCAATTACTTCTAGTCTTCATTATTAAAAACACAGCCAAGTCACAATAATGCCGTGCCTTATAACTGCTTCTCATTCTAAAGTAGACATCAATATTTGAAACAATTCATTTAAGTAATGATGTTTCAGTCTTCTTTTCCTGATTTCCTATAACTTTTGGAAACATGAATATGTAGATCTGCCATTACAATACAGGTCACTGTCTAAATGTTGTTTTTGTATATTGAAAGGAATCAGGTCATTTGTGGGGACTTCTCTTTCTTCTAAGGAAAGCAAATCACAGTTTTCCACTTTAGACAATATAGAATACAACACCAATTAAATAAAAAAATCTCTCTCCTAGAATTGTGAAGATGTACTTCCATGTCATTCATACACCTGCAGTAAAAATTAAATTCCGATAGACCAATCTCTCCTTTGTATCGACTCTTTATCTTGAGGTTGAAAGTGCTTTCTGGGCACTCTTGCCCTCTCTGCTGGTCCCACCGACTTTCTGCACTGCCCTGCAATGAATTAGGTAGGAAATTTACTGTGCTTTTTTTGTTGTTGTTCTGTTTCAGAAATCAGTAAAGATGATGCTGAAAAAATTATCAACAGCCGTAAGTTTGAATACTTTTTAAATGAAATACGAGATTATTTAGCGAGTTACAGTTTTAAGTGCTTTACATCAGATAATTCATTCAAACTCCGTAACAATGCGAGAGATAGATAGGCTCATAATCTCATTTTAAAAACGAGAAAGGGCAAGTACAAAACAGTGAAACAATTGCCTACATTCAGCCAGTTCGTAAATAGCTATCAGGGTCAAACTTCATGCTTAGGGAGTCTGGCTTCAGAGCCAATGGGCTGAATGACTTTGCCTCTGTCCAAGGCTTATTCATTATCTAAGTCTTGCAGTACCTCAGGGGTGCTATGCTGGGTAGAGAGAACCCAGTGACTGCCACTGATTCTGGCACAACTCCATTGCATTCCTTTCAGTCGAGATATTGTCTGATTTAACCATAAAGGACAGCTCAGCTCACTGTCTGCTTTGTAACTGAGTACACATTATTTTTGAGCTGTGTATGGTGGTGCACACCTGTAATCTCAGCACCCTGGGAGGCTGAAGCAGGGAAATCCCAAATTCAAACTCCACTGGAGCAATTTACTGATTTTGGGTAGCCCTGTTTCAAAGTAAAAACTTTTCTAAAAGGGCTGGGAATACAGTTCAGTAAGAGAGCTTTACGTTCCATCCCCAGCACTACTATCAATCAATCAGGAAATCAAAAAACAATTATAACAATAAAATAATAAATCAATAATACTGTCTGTATTCTCAATGGAACAAAACCAACCTTTTCTGACAGGCTGTGGGAGGCGTGCAAGAATGTCTGCGACCTACGACAGAATCAAGGGCGGCTCCAACGCTCAGGAGGGAGAGTGGCCCTGGCAGGCCAGTCTCAAGATGAACGGCAGACACTACTGTGGAGCCTCGTTGATCAGTGAACTTTTCCTGGTGACTGCGGCTCACTGCTTTAGACAGTAAGTTCGTCATGCTGTTGCAGACCCCACGGAGGACAAAAGCCCGGGAAAGCTCTAGTTTTTACCTGTTTGTTACCCCTGCTCTGTAGGAGGCACTTTCACTCCCAGAAGTGCCCTGGTTTGGGAGACAAGCTGAGCTGCCTGTCTAAGTCTTTTCCCGCTTCCCAGTAAACATGAGGAGTCTCTCAGCTTTCATACTTTTCCTTAACCAAGTCTTACGTCTTTCCAGGCTCTAAGCTATGTGCAGTTGCTAAAATACAACATCCAATTTCACATTGCTTCTCTGGATCCACATCTGCTCTACTTCAGGCAAACGGGACTCAGTCCTGTCTTTAATGCTATTTTCCATAAGAAATTTCTCTTTCCTTAAAAATACTAATTGAATTCCTCCTATTTGCATCCCCATTAATTACATACCCAAGTACCCTAATGATTGTTATGACTGCCAGTGTTTATGCCCATCTTTAATTAGATTTAGCCTCTTGAAGGCAAATGCTATTTATTTTCATTTTTACATCCCTATTGCCTCGCATGTTTAATGGTTCAGGGACTCAAGATATTTCAAGTTAATTTAAAAAATCATATCCTTGCAATGGAATACAGAGAGATGAAATATTAATGTCATGAACAGCATACAGTAGATGTAGAATTTCTTGTATTTGCTATACAAGGCAGTATTTTTCTATTTTGAAATAAATAAAAGACACAGAATTTTTGTTTCATTAGGACAAATAACCCAAAAGACTTTACCGTTAGCTTTGGCACTCACGTAACTCCCCCCTATATGCAACATGATGTTCAAGAAATTATGATTCATGAAGGCTATGTCAAAGGTGAACATCACGATGATATTGCAATCATTCGGCTCACTGAAAAAGTTGTATTTAAAAATGATGTGCATCGAGTTTGCCTTCCTGAAGCCACACAGACACTTCTGCCTGGAGAAGGAGTTGTTGTTACAGGATGGGGAGCACTTTCCTATGATGGTAAGTCCTATGTCTAATGTGCTTTGTGAGATTCAAAAGCAACAAGAAAAGTTAGCAATCATGGTGCAGAGTGCAAGGCATTATTTGCTTCTGGCTATTGAGTTGCCTCAGGTTATGTCTTAAGGAAAGCAGCTTATGGAGTTATGACCACAGATTGCCTTGCCTTGGAACATTCTTAGGAGACCAGTACAGTTATAGAACCTCCCCTACTAGCGGCAACTAATCGAGAAGGTTCTGGTCCAAAGGTTTTGTTACAGCCAATTGATGAATTCCTCTCTCAGCCCAGAAAGAATTACAATGCAGACAGCTAAGGGAGAACTGAGTCCCTAAATTCTATGGTGGATGTCAACAGATGGTAGCCTCTGAGCGATTGTTTCTTTTCTTGGCCCAGAAAAAATCACTATTCAATGTAGAGTCAAAAGAGGAGTGAACAAAAGTACTTACAGTGTGAAGCAGAAACCAACGACTATTGTGAAGCAAAAACAAAGCCCTTAGGCACATGAAGCTGGTGGTGGCAAATGGGTACCAAGAGGACTTTTCAGCTAGGGCTTCAAAAGTCAGTATATTTTTGCCAAGTTGAGATCAACTATGGGGTTATAAGCAGAAGAGTGAGTTAGAAGTGGGCCTTTAGGAACTTAGGGGAGGCAGCAAGCATACTTGTGCAAGTACCGCTAATTATAACTTTAAACAGAGCAAAGGTGTTCTTTACAAAGATACAGTGTTTTATTTCTGAGCATGAGAATCCCACCAATCTAATAACGGCTTTGTTTACTGAGTCTTCAATTCCCTGGCCTTGGTCATTGCATCCTTCATAGAATGTTCAGGATTCCTTTATTGTCCTGGCCCTTTCTCCAGCTGCCTGTCTGTCCCTTCTGACAGAATGCTTCCAATACTCCCCTCTTGGGCCAGTGTTACTCCGAGAAATCCTCTCATCCTCCCACAGGGTCCTGCTCATCCCCCACATCATGTTTTACAACAGATTGTTTAGATTGCTGTTGGGAGCTTCTTGTTAGGTTTAAGAAAATGACACCCAAACCTTAAGAAATGGAACCTAAACACAATCACACCTGTGGAAGAAGAGAGATTTAGTCTACTCAGGTGTTTCATTATCTCCCTGTTTCAGGTTTGAGAAGGACTTTGAAAGGCAGCATTTAAAAGATGCTTCAAATTATATTTTCAGTTTCCAGTGTTCTTTTTTTCATAGACTTGAGTAAGGGAATTGAGTGGGTCTTTTCATTGAAAGTCAAATGGTTAAATAGCAGCAGTGGTGCAGAGGTCTTATGCACAGGAAAGGCCTGCTCCATTTTACAGTGAGGTTTGCTTCCTCTAGGTAAATTCCCAGTGTTACTTCAGAAGGCACCTGTGAAAATCATCGACACAAACACGTGTAATTCTGAAGAAGCATATTATGGGATGATACAGGATACCATGCTATGTGCTGGCTACATGGAGGGAAATATTGATGCCTGTCAGGTAATTCTGGTTGCTATTTGGATTGACCACATAATATATAAATAACTGCTGTTATTTTAAGAAAGTTACTGATGTGGAAATAATTGTATGCTTCAGTTAATGTGCTCTTTGACTGTTCTTTCTGTGTCTCTCTCAGTTTTGACACTAAAATATTCTTCCTTACATATAATTAGTGTTTATAATTAACAACCGCTTATGTTAGGCTGACTCTGACTCAAGCACTTTCCTAATTTCTTTACAAATAGTAATTTATTAAGCCCTTATCACAATCTTAACATGTAAGCCCTACCATGATTCTCATTTCTCAGATGAGGAAATCGAGGCACAGAAATTCAAAGTACCTCACACATGGTCATACCCTAATAAATATCAGTACTGTGTACAGTTCTCTGGAACTTAGCATCAGGATTTATCCTCTTGCCATTGTTCCAATAAAAATCAGTCTCAGAAAGGTCTGAGTCACTTTTAGCCCATTCACAAATTTTCCCTACCTTCCTATCCTCTTTACGTAAAATGGTTCTAGTCACTTTTTAAAAATATGAGTCTGAATTTTAATTACATCTCTATTATGTGTCTTCCAAGTCTTTCTTATAGAACTAGAGTGTGTAATCTCCTAGATCACACCTTCAAGTTCAGTTGCACACGTTAGGGAATGTATTCTGGTAACAGTTGACATTAGAAATGTGCAGCAATTTATTTTATTTACCTTTCCATTGTTTCTATGAAATGCCAACCAAAAATTAAAATATCAGAAAGGAAACTGTCACAGTGACCATTGTTCTTTGTTTTATTTAGGGTGACTCTGGAGGACCATTAGTTCATCCCAATTCACGAAATATTTGGTACCTGGTTGGCATTGTGAGCTGGGGAGATGAATGTGGCAAAATCAATAAGCCAGGCGTCTACACAAGAGTGACAGCCTACCGCAACTGGATAGCTTCCAAGACTGGTGTCTAGGAGAAGCACCTTGTAAAACTAACACAGGTCATCATCTCTGGAACTCCTAAGCTATACTTACTATGTTTTTCTAATTGGTGGGCTCATTGGCTATTTGAACGAATTGCGGACCTGAGGAAATGCTTGTGAACTTCTATTTTAAGCAAACTAAACAAGACAAAATAAGAAATCTTACTCTTTTGGATCCAGAAAGGCTTAAGCTGAGAAAGTACTTTCACCAAAAATAATGTTTATAATACTTTACTGCATGACTCATGCATGTGTAGAACCTATAAATGGTTTATGAGAACTGATCTTACGACACATGATGAAATGAACAAATATTTTGAAGAAAAAGAGACGCTAAAGTATCCAGTACTGATCCTGGAGTGTCATAATGTGAAACCTAGAAATAGTATTATTCTTTGTTCAGAGCGATATTAGTCTGCTTGGGTTTGTTCAATCTCAACATAATTGAAGATATGGATAACTGCATGTATGTTTAAGTGTATAGGATTTATAACCATATTTCTACATTTTTGTTGGGTAGTTGAACAGAACTAGTTGCAGTCTCACTGTCTGAACCCCCACTTTATATGCTCCACTTTAATATCTTGAATAACTATTTGTAAGAGAACAATCTGTAATCATCAACTAGTGATTTCTTACCGTTTATTTTTTCTTTGAAAGTATGTATAATTTCTACCCATTTTCTGTTTTGTTTAGTCTTCCTTTAAATAAAATTTTAAAAAATAATATCTTAAAAAATACTATACTACATGTTTTTTTTTTTTTTTTTTGGCTTTTTTGTTTTTACTGGTACCAGGGATCGAACTCACGACTGCCTGCTTCAAAGGCAGGCACTTATGCCACTGAGCTAAATCCCCAGCCCCTTACTACATGTAATCCTAGTTCATTTTATGGTTATCTGACCATAGTACAAAGTTCATGGTATTTGTTACGACTCTGTGGAGTTATGAGGGTGTATTTCTGTCCATAGTAAAATAGCACACAGTGCAATGAGAGACTGGAATTATGAGGCTGTGTTGGAGCACACAGTGTCTGCTTTCATGTCATAACTTTTGTGGAAGCTATACGACGGTGATATAAACCTGGTCTAGATGTGGGCATTGAGTTCCCATCTCTTATTTGTACTGCCACTTTCATCAGTTGTTGCATATTGTGAAGCAATTTGACAGCAAAATTAAACAAAACAATACACTTCAAACTTACAAGGCACTAAGTACAACAATCTGTTAATATTAGCATAAGATTTGGTGGAAATTTCCTATTTGTAATATATTTTGAAAGCATGGAATGTGTAGACAATGAAAATGTGTAATGTATTTTAAACAAAACAAGTTAATAGATCATCTCTGTTCAATAACAATTTTCTTGTTTTTTATTTTTATTTATTTTCTTAAGAATGTGAAATTGTCTGCTTTTTCTGGTCTCCTCCATTGGATAGGTAGAGGAGAGTGTGTGTGTGTGTGTGTGTGTGCGCGCGCGCGTGCGTTTCTAGGCAATTTGAAGATGAGACTGCTGCAGTCCAGGCTGGCATCCTTCTGCCAATGGAGTTGTCAGGGGCTCCTGTCTTACTGGCTTGGTTTTGCTCCCTGGTGAGCTCTCCAGGCTGCCACAGAGGCCAGCTGTCAGTGGAGCCTGCACTCCCTGACTCCTCTTCTGTTGGCAGTAAAGGGCCAGAGAGACCCAGGACAGGGAGGGTGGCAGAGTGGGTCGTCTTCAAGGCTGACTATGTCTGTGACTACAGGTGATTTTTTAAATCTGTGAATTGAATTCCGGACCTTGCACTTGCCAGTGAGGCATTTGTGACACTGAACTATACCCCTGGCCCTGCAGATGATGTTTTGTAGTACAGAATAATTGGTTATTGGCCATGTTCTTGATCCTACAGTCTTTGGAAGCATAGGTTCTTGTTTTATGAACATAGTCTTCATGAGTTCAATGACTTCTAATACTCTTAGAAAATAAAAGCAGTTCTCATCTGCTGAAAACTAACATTAATTGACCTTACAAGTTCTTACATGGCCTTTAAATTTTATTTAAGTTTCAATGACCGAGAATGGCTGTATTAAGAGATAATACTTTAATGGATTTTTTTTCTGAGGAAACGTAAGTTTTACATTATTTATTGATAATAACTTTCCATTTATCAAAAATCCAAAGTACACATACATAGTATATAGCCATATAATGGAGTTGTCCTAAAATTCCATAAATTCATTTTGAAATGGCATGGTTAGTTCTTTTATATTACATATTGTCCCAGTTTCTTGAATTGCTCAAAGACCAGTGCTTTAAAGAAAATTAGACTATTAATTATTAATTATCTTAATATTTAATCCACTTGGTCATAATCGACATCATGTTGTATTCATTATTTTCATAATAATAAGTGAAACAATGTGTAACATTCTTTGAGTTTCACACTCATTGTGTCAGGCACAGCTCTAACCACCTTATTTTGATTAATGATCTACCTGTTGTATGAAGCATGCTACCATTACCCTAACTTTGCAGAAGAGAAACTAAGGCTTAGTGATATTGCTCAAAGATGTGAAACACCACTACCATAGCGAACTCTGCAAATCACAGAAGTTCACGATGAGGAAGCCACTTTGACCAGAGGTGTTGATGCTATACATTATTATGTTTTTTTTCTTTCTTTGTTGATTTTATTTGCTTACTTGCTTTCTTATTCTGGGGAGTGATGTGTGTCTGGTGACTACAGAGCTTATCGTAAGAACCAATCAAAGACGGCCAAGTATCTGCTTTTGTATTTTCTCTTTGCAGACTCCATAAAAACCTCCTTCTCTGAGCCTTCAGGGACTGACATTTTGAGGAACAATTGATACCCTGTCAGTGCCATTTAACATAAAATAAATCTGACCCAAAACCTTGGGTGTTATTTTGGTGTTTCTGTTTGCCATTGCAGTCTATTGATCTATATATCTTTTTTCATTTCCATAACAGGCCATTTTTATCACTATTGTTTTGAAATTAGGGATTGCTGTGCCTCTGACTTTGCTCTTCTTTCCCAAAACTGCTTTTGCTATTCTGGGTCTCTTCTAGGTCCATGTGAATTTAAAATTTTTTCTCTAGACCTGTAAAGGATGCCATTGGTATTTTGGTTAGACTGCACTGAATCTGAGTAACAGTCTTGGAAATATGACTATTTTGACAGTATTGATTCTGTTTATCCAGGAATGAGACATTTCTTGATGTTCTCTTCGATCTCATTGTTTCATGGTACTGTAGTTTCCTTTGTAAAGGTCATTCACTTCTTTAGTTAGGCTATTTCATAAGTGTTTCATTTTTCTTGAAGTTACTGTGAATGTTTTAATTTTCATAATTTCCTTCTCATTTTGTTCATTATTGTTGTACACAAATGCTACCAAATTTTGTGCTTTGATGTTGTATCCTGCTACATCGCTGAAGTTTGTTATTAATTGTAAGAGTTTTTAGTGGAATTCTTTGGTTATTCTATGTAGTTATAATGTCATCTGCAGATAATGATAATTTGAGTTTTTCCTTTCTCTTGCCTAATAACTCTAGATTATGTTTCAAGTGCTAAGTTGAGTAGAAGAGGTGATAGTTGACATCCTTGTCTTGTTCCTGATTTTAAGGGAATACTTTAAACTTTTTCCTGTTTCATATGATCTGTTTTCTTCATCCTTCCTATGAGCTTTTCATAGATTTCTGCTGTCTGATGTATATTCTCGTCTCCCTTTGTGATCCCTTGCTCTACTTTGGGAGAGCTGGTGGGGAGTTTGGTGATCTTGTTTCTTGGCCTCCCTGCTTTCCTCTGTGGATCTGTGATATATAGCCCCTTTTTTGCTCACTTTTTGAGGGATTATTACAGTTGGGGCTAGGGAAATTAGGATGGTTTGTGGGTTCTAAGGCAATTTTAATAGGATATGGCCTCCCCATGAAAAATTTTCAGCTTCATATGTTGAATTCTAGTATTTACTCCTTGTGTTATTTACCTTACGTGATTTCAACTCTATGTTTTGCTGAAAAATTACTTCTGATTGTAACAGCACCCACAGGTTCAATCTTACAACACTTCTGTGGGGTAATCCTTGCAGTTGTTCCTCCCCTTTTATTTATTCTTTGTGCACACTGTGACGCATTATTAATTGTGATTGCCCTGCAATGAGATAGCTGAGATGGGGTGGGAATGGTTGGATGAGGAGGGACAGACACTAAGGAAGAATAGTGCTACATGAGGAGAAACAGTTGATGTGGGGCCTGATTCTATAGGAACTCTTCTAACTGAGTTGGAGTGTTAGTACTGAGAGTTTTCAGAGGATGTTTCGTGGGGGCAAGGGCAAGACATGGCAGGATGAGGTTTACTTTTTGACTGAGGGAAGCTATGTTGTCAGAATCTGCTGATAAGGAGGACAATAGCCTAGGAAAGATATGGGGCGTTGAAGGATCAGGCTGGGAAGGATAGAAAATTAATATTAGGGGGCCCAGTAGTGACTGGGAGAGAGCTATGTATGGGCAACTTAAAAAATTAGAGGAGTAGTTGACATGTTTGATAAAAGAAATACATTAACAATATTGTCTCAGGGTTGAAGGTGAGGAAATAGCGAGCTGAGATGAGGGAGAGAATCTAGACACCTATTAAATCAGAGCCGATGAAAGAACAAACACATAAAAGTAACAACTTAACAAATACAGGAAATAGTAAAAGAACATCACAACCCCACCTTATTAAATAAATCAAGAAACATAAAAACTTAAACCTACAAGATGTCTCATGGGAACATGGATTAGAAATTGCAATGAGACATAAATGATTCACAAGCTGCTTCTTCGCCAGAGAGCCTGAGGGCTCACCCCGTAACTCTCGGGTGTCTCCACTCTAATACTGAAACCAGCTCAGACTTGGGACTCCTTTTGCCAGGCTGCAGCACCCTTGGACAGTCTGATCTGGTACTGAGTTCTTGCTGTTCCTTTCCCTGAGTGTGACGGTGGATTTGGCAGACAGGATCACTGGCACAAAGTTGCCCACTGAGTGAAGATTATTTATTTCTGCACAATCAAATCAGCTATTGCGGTGACAGATTAATGGGTTACACTGTTGTCTGTCAGTGCTGGTTGAGAAATAACAACCATGAGACCCTGTTTTGGGTCTCCCTTGTACCTAAAGAGGAGTGCCACAGTTGCAGTGTGAGCATCCTAGCAACAAGTCTTGACTCAGAGTTAATGGGCACTAAATTCCGTGGCTGTATCTCTTCTAATGGTGAGAAATGATAACTTTAACAATAACTTTAATGAGAACCAGCTATCTAAAGCCCAGGGGTCTGGGAACTGGGTAATGCCACAGACAGGCAGAGAAGAAAAACAATCTGCTAATGTCTTCTGTTATATGGTATGGGAAGGAGGAAATGGGAGAGGGCAAAGGACTCTAATGATGGTAAAGACACGTCATATATTTAGAAGGGATAGCAGGAGAAACTGGGTGCAAAGTTGGTAGTGGGAAATGGGTATGGGGATGATATGATTAATTAGAGAAAAATCTAAAGACATAAACATAAAGAGGAAGAGGGAAAAAAGAAAACTGAGAAAGTGAGACACAAGAAAGAAGTCAACAGGAGACATGCATAAAAGTAAGAGGAATACAAAGGGACACGGGAGACTTCCCTGACCCACTACAGGAAGAAGACGAGAGGAAGCAAAGCACTCATACACGAACATAAATAATGGAATAACATGAGGGATGTTCAAGAGGAATAAAACAGCCAAAACATGCAATGAAAAATAATAAAGAATAATAAAAATTTTCTGTTATTTTGGGAGTGTGACACTTTTCTTCAGTTTATGGCTCAAGTCAGGATGCATCTCTGCTCACCCTGCACGTCTCAGGTAACCACCAGCTCCCCCCTGCACAGAGCTGGGTGTAGAGCTGTGCTTACAGCGAGGACACAGCGCCCCTCTGAAGCTCAAGCTGACCCTGACCTCTGCCCAAGGAGTCAGCTCTTGATAACCAGCCCGGCCCCCCAGTGGGACCCCCTAGACTGCTTTTCAGTCGCTGTCTCCTGGGCTGCCCTGCCCTCAGTCACTCTGGGGACGTGGCAGCATGGAGCATGGCTTAGAGACAAAGGGCTGCTCTGGGACCAGAGTTCAAATGCTCAGCCATTCCCTCCAACGGTGTCCCCACAGCTCTTGCTCTGTGATTGTGATTGTGTTTGTGACCTGTACCAAGGTCACTTACCCTGTTGGCTGTGGAAAGCGATACTGGACACAGCCCTTCACGTTTTCTTTGCTGGTTCTAACCACTGATGCTTCTTTCAGTCCTAGTGTAGTTGTCTAGCTCCGTGTGAGTGAAAATGTTAGTTTC